CTCTTTATTTTCTGCCATAAATGTTTTGAACAGCAAGATTAATGCAAGTAAGAGGGTTGGCCACCTCACCTCTCCGCTTCCGTACCCAAATCATTATTCCTGTGTTGGTGTTAGTTGACCCAAAGTCCCAAATGTCCCAATACAATGCTACTACTTTATAAATGTCACAACAAAGGTGGTGTTTTTATATAAGTATATTTTTTTTTTGAACCTTTTGTCATGACGGGGTTCGAAACTCTACTAAAGGAGGGGGTACGTACTTTTTCGATCGTATTAGTTATTGAATCACAAAGATTAAGTGCTTTTATATAAGTTTTTTAGTATTATTATTATTATTATTATTATTTATTATCAAACATCTTGAGTTAGTTTTTGTGTTTCTTTTTATTTAAATTTTAAAGTTTTTTAGGGATTTGATTCAATAATTAATCTATTAATATTAGTGTAATTTCATTTTTATCTATAGAGTGAGTTTTCTTAAATTTTATAAAATATTTTAGAATAATTTATTATACAAAATTTTAATTATTTTTAACAAAAAAATAATAAAAAAAATTAAATCAAATTAAAATTAAAATAATCCTAATCAACAAGGTTGTCGATGACAGATTACATAATCTATTAAAATATATTAATAATTCTAGTTTTTGCTGCAAAAATAATTGTTAAAAAGGAAAACTAAAATAATATGTGACAAAAGTCACAACTTCTTGAATAATAAAAAGAAATTTATTATTCTTATAAAATTAATTTTATTTCAAAATTAATTTCAAGTAGTAAAAATTTACAAAAAAAAATATAAATTAAAGATCAATTTAACTAAACAGAGTGATATTACTGTTAAAAAATTAACATATTAGAGTAAATTGAAATAAAATTAAAAAATAATAAATGAATATGAAAGTATCTAAAATAATAGATGAAGAAGAAGAAAAAAAAAAAAAACGTTATTAGACCATTTGTTAAATTAAGCTTTTTTTTTTAGTGTTAAATATTTATTTATGAATGGATTTAACCTTCGCTATTAATGTTTTTATAAACAATGATAATAATATTACGTGAATTGTATAATAAATCAACAATAACTCAATACATCTATTGTATATGTCAGAGTTACATAACAAAATTTCAATAATATTTGATTAGTCAAAATTTCATTTACCTGTTTCACAAAAAAAAGAAAGAAAGAAAAGGGGGGGTGCCAAACTATATATTATAATGGCATTATGCAATGTTTCCCACAACAGGGTATTCTAGCAATTTTGTTGAAACATCAAGGGTAATTAAATAGTATCATGGGTATATAGAACCCCAGCTTCCTTATTCCTTCCCCCAACATCTTATCAGAAATTGAAGAGTATATCAGAAGAGGGAATCAAGCAATTTTCAAAAGAAAAATGTCTCTGGTCACAGAAGAGAGCAAAGCTAATGCAGAGGTGTACCATGGAGATGAGATATGTCAAGAGAAATCAAAGTTCTTGCTCAAGGAAATATGCATGCCTAATGGGTTGTTGCCCTTGAGAGACATTGAGGAATGTGGGTATGTGAAGGAAACAGGGTTTGTGTGGCTCAAACAGAAGCAGAGCATAACCCACAAGTTTGACAAGATTGGGAAGCTTGTGAGTTATGCACCTGAGGTCACGGCTGTGGTGGAGAAGAACAAGATCAAGAAGCTCACTGGGGTCAAGACCAAGGAGCTCTTGCTTTGGATCTCACTCAGTGATATCTATGTTGATGATCCCCCAACTGGGAAAATCACCTTCAAGACCCCTTCTGGCCTCTCCAGGTCTTTCCCGGCGTCGGCTTTTGAGGTTGAAGAGGAAGTCAAGGACGCCAAAGGGAACACCGAGGTGAAGAAAGTGAATGGTGTTGTGGAAGTGAAGGAGGTCTGAGTTTTTCCTGTGGTCTTCATGGGTCTTACAGCATCTTGATGTACTGTGTTTTACTAGTGTCTTTTTAATATGTTACTGGCAATAAAATTGTTTTCCAGTTTCAAAGAGCATGTGCAATAGGTATTCAGATACACCTAGAAAACCAAATGCGTGAATTCGAAGGATTTTTGGGCATCTTTTGTCTTGTGGTGCCCTTTTCTTCCACATAGATCTGCATCAATAATTGATGCCATTTGTCAGGGAAGGCCAATGTCAAACCTTAGCCCTCACCTTTTTCTTTCATGTCTGAGAAGCAAAGAATATCTTGCTGTCAAACATGTATGAGGCCTCAATAAAAGAATATATTGCTAAAAGAAAATCCCACTAGAATATTTGTTTGCTCTTAATCACAGTAACATCATGAAATTAAGAGGCTTCCTCACAATCTAACTAAAAAGTAGAAAGAAGCAAGAAATAGACAGAATATTTTTTTGAGGGTTTAAAATCCCTACTATGCCTTCTCAGCAGTTCTACAACTGTTTTCATGTTAAAGAAAAAATGAGAAAAGAACTGATGGTGATTCAGCCCCACAACTTCCAATATAAGAATCAGTCCTTGCTTCCGATCATATGTGATGGTGGTCACCTTCAGCAATCACAACTTCAATGCCTGTACAAAGAAAATCAATTATCAACAAAAACCTCAACAAGCATAATACATTACATTCAGCAAGGGGAATGAAAATTTCAATTATTAAGTTGTCAAATTGAAATGCACCACATCATAAAAATTACTTTCCAGGAGAGAGTGCAAAGTGATAATGGAAAAATCATTGAGACAGCTCATTGTTACTCTATTCAATCATGTCAAAAGCATACACCGAGACAGCTTGAAATGTAATGTAGAAGTTGGGAGTGGGACCTTCCAATTATTGGAAGTATCAATCTCTGGAATGAAGAACACAGACCAAGAGAAATTTGGTTGAATATACCTGAGAAGCCACAACCCATTTTCCATCAATCCAGTCCTGATGTAGTCTTAACTGAGAGTGATCAAACACCAGTTCCTCCGAGGTGGTTTGAAAATATACTTTGTATCTTGAGTTGGGGAGAACCTTAGAGATCACACCCACCCACCAACCATCATTATACAAAGCATCAACTTCTTCAAGCAATTTGTAATGATCAACAACAGTTTCTGGTGGATAAGGCCTAATCTGCACTGCATCAGCCTCTTCCTTTAGAAAATCTTTGTCATCTTCTGTTCTCAAGCTTTCATACTGAATTATATACTTGTCCCTTCCCAATGCTTCAACTATTGTTGCAGCAAACCAAGCACCTTTAAAACCATCTTCATCACTTCTAACTTCAACCCGCATTCCCTCACTAAACTTCTCCCCAGTCCTTGAATTGTTAGATTTCAACTTTTCTTCAGTCAACAAATTGTTAGACTCCAACTTCTTTTCAGACATTGATTGATTAGAATCCAGCTTTATCTCCTCAGCCAGTCCTTTGTCAGAGGTCATGCCTTTAGATGTCTGCAGTTTAAGAAGTTAATGGATGAGGACACAAACTCCACACATCAGGAATTGCAGCCCAGCTGGGAATAAAGATGTGAACCAAGTAGCACCATTTGAAGAATGTTTCCTAAAAGAGATTATCTTCCCACAACATCCCACTATTTTCATAAACTTACTTAACCCTTTCCACTAGCTCAAAACTTACTAAAACTAATTACAACTAGAAGAGAAAGAACATGGACTCTGGATCACTCAGAAATTATGCATCCATCATGAATGCACATCTGCATTGTAATCTTATGGTATGAGACAGCAACCCCTATGAAAACACTAAAGCAGTATAAATAACAAGTACAAAAGTTGTCACTACACCACCATCCAATTCAGTTATTTTATTAATCACAATTCATATCCCCATTATAACATCCTTAACCAAGATAAATTGTACATAACTTCTATATGGCCATGTATAGGGAAAAGTAAAGAAGCAAATGAAAGAAGTATGTCATTACTCATTAGAAATGGTTGCAAAACACATAATTTAATACTTTGCAAAAACGAAAATATTAAGGTCAAAAGTATCTGTAATGAAAAAAAAAAAATGACAATCAACATCACAAACGTTATGGTTCAAAGAAGCTTTCCAATATCCACAAAGCTTAACCATTTACAATAAATCTTGTGAATTGAAGTACAAGTAATCAGAAGGGAAGAATCTACTCTGTTCAAATAGAATCACAAGGCAGAGAAACATAAAAGTGAAGGAAATAAAGTACGCTCATTCTATTGAGATAAGCATATTAAGAAAAGTTCTAATAATAAACCATAAAGAGACACATTTTCAACTTATTCTTTACAAAAGCAAAATAACAAAATGGTCGATAAAACAAGTATTAAAGACTCTTGGCAACTTAAACTAACAAAGGAGCATTACTTACACGCTATACAGTAGTCATTTCTCAAAAGCAATATCAAATGAACAAGGTCTAAATTGAAAATGAAAACGAATCTATTTAGACTCTATCTAAAGTAGTTCTAATGCAACATTAAGTGCTTTCAATCACAGAGACACATGATGGTACTAACTTTTCGAACTTAACAGAAGCTTTAAAGGTTAAGAATTTACACTATCATACTTTTTCATTTAGTACGAGGCATTTTTGGCCCACATGTAGTCAGGGGCTTCGATTGAATCAATTTTTGGAATAAATACTTATACAAGGCTTAACTCCTTAAACATATAGGGGCAATATTACCCAATTATTTGCCTGTTAAGAACTCACATGGGGCTTTTTATTCCTGGTAACCCAACTCCAAAATTGATTGTATATATGAAGGAAAGAAACAGAACAAAGAAAATTTCTTTATTTCAGATGGGAGGCCAGGAGTTTTGACTTTCAGAACCAGACACCACAAAAAACCAAACAAAAGAATCTGCATAAGAAAGAGTGCACAAGCAACAAGAAACGCTAAATACACAAGGGAGGAGGTACTTACATTGTCATCTTCCTCCTCCAATGGAGGCTTCCAAACCCCATCAACCCATTCCCTGTGTAGCCTCAACTCTTTCTCCCCAAACTCAATCTGTTCTTTAGTCGGCCTAAAGTACACCAAGAACCTTCCTTTTCCCAAATCCTCCGTTATCACACCCTCCCACCAGCCGTCATTGTAAAAAGCATCCACTTTCTCACTGAACCGGAACTTCCTCGCCTTCTCCTTGGGTGCCGGTGGCCGCAGATTAACCGCATCAAGAACCTCTCTGAGTGGCTTCTTTCCCTCCTCGTCTTTGAAGAGACTGGTGTACTGAACAACGAACTTGTTGGGATCTTTAGAAGAGACACGCCTGATGACGGTCCCGGCGTACCAAGAGCCACGATAACCCGGGTCATCGGAGCTGATCTCCACCTGTTTGCCGGCTTTCAGGTGGGGCGGAATAGGGGGGATAGTGGGTTTGGATTTGGGCTTGGGTTTGGGTTTCCGTGGCATTTGATCGATTGGGAGAAATGGGTTTTTGGCGGGAGAGAAGAATCAGAGAAAGACGGGGAATGTGATGAGACGGTTACAGAGAGAGAGGAAGAGGACGAACAAATGCAGTGAGGTAGGAATGCCAGCAGCCACTGAACCACGCCAAAAATTTACATATTTTTCCCACTACAATAATTCAATAAATACATATTTTTTTCCACAGAAAAATTATTAATTTAAGCTGAAAAAGTTCGATTTTTTTTAAATAAAATCTCGAGTTCAAGTTTTGAAAATAGAGAAACATGTACTGAAAGAGTTTTCTTCTTAATGAATTCAATGCGGTTCGATTCTAAATTAATTGGATTCAAAGTGGTTATCGAATTTCAGAAAGTTAATAAAAAATAAAAAATAAAAAATAAATATTTTTTATTCAACATAATTCATTTAGACAAAACATGAATTGGTTAGGAAAAAAAATTTAGTTAGCGGCCTCTTCCTTTCAATTGTCAAAGTAAATACGAATGAATGATTTGAATTCAATCAATATTACATTTAAGTTCTCATAATAGTGAATCTTAATAATAAATTCTCAAAAAAAAGGAAGAAATGGTTAATTCCTCAATTTGGATTCTGAATTATTGTACAAATCTGATTCAGTCATTGAATTAAAAAAATCTTTGATTTGGTTCTTAAATTATTGTACCGGCCTCTGATTTAGTCCTCATTGTTTATCAATTTACTCGAAGTTGGTCTTTCCGTACAAAAACCAACTGACGTGTTTTGTTATTAACGTTATTAAGGAAACAACCGGTGATTGAGCTAGATTGATTCTATTCAACAGTGCATCTGTGATTGATCTTCCATTTAATATTGTATCTCTAATTTGGTTTATATTTTGCAATAATGATTAGGATAGTTACCTTGTATTTACTGATTTAGTTTCCATTTTTCTTGAATTGTAATACTTGTATATATTTCTATGAAATTAGTACAAAAAGCAATCATTCCGCAAATATTACTTTTGATGCTTTATTAGTGGTATCAGAGCAATTCGATCCTTGAAACCATGGCTGATCAGACCCCCTCAACCAACGCAAGCAAGATTGCAATCACCACTTCAGCAGCCATCGTCAGTCCGGCAGCCATAACCCCTACAACTGTTGGAAACCCAAACACTAATCCAACTAATGTCATCACCTCCAACGTTGCTGTTCAATTTCCAGTGAAACTAACCACTGATAATTATTCAAGTTGGAGTAGGCAATTTATCTCACTACTCAAAGTCTATCAACTGTATGATTTTTTACTAGGAACAAGGCCATGTCCGTCGGTAGACCACACTTCAGATTCACCTTATGATGTCTGGGTGAGACAAGATCAATCCATTTAGCATGCAATTATGACTTCAATTGTTGAATCTATTCACCCATATGCGATCAGCATTGAAACCGCCCATGAAGCATAGATAGGGATGGCAACGGGTCCCCACGGGGGCGGGGACCCTCTCCCCATCCCCATCCCCATCCCCGTCAATGACGGGTACGGGGATCCCCACGGGGATTTTTGACGGAGGATAAAAAATAGCCTCCATCCCTATACCTGCAGATAATGATAGGTCCCCACGGGTATTCGGAATCCCCACCAAATAAAACTTGATGCTCGTTTCTTGTTTGAGAAATTAACTGATGATAGAACGAATTAATAGCTTAAATAAGCCTCAAAATAACAATACGATTATCGTTCGTTGCAAATGCGAGAAAGAAGCCGCACAAGCATGTAAACAACGAAAATCACATTCTGAAAATCTTGCAAACAATCGGAGGGAAAATGAAATCGGGAATAATAAGGCCAAAAAAATGAAATCTGCTTCAGTTCAAAATAAATCATCAAGCACAGATACTCAAATACTCACAAATACTCATAACTCAAGCTGAAGCAAGCTGCAAGTAGCCGATTAAAGAATAGAAACAGAGTTATGGGCACTGCCTTTCGAAGGTTGCCGAAAATGATAGGTTGAAGGGGATTGACCGATTGAAGAACAGAAACAAAGCCAGTGAGATACAGCATAGAGGAGAGGAGACTAGAGTCTGGAAAGGAGGAATCATAGAGTAGATTTGCAAATCTCAGAAATTTGAAATAGTCTTTCTAGTTCTAGGGTTACTAGCAAATATGGTTGGACTTAGGCAATTAAGTTTAAGAAGATTATGGGCTAGACTGGACTACATAATTGGGTTTAGAAAAACAAAAAAAAAAGAAGGATTGGTCAATTAATTGGGTTGAGTAAGTAAAAATAAATTGTTAATATATTTAAAAATGTATATATAAATAAATTTATTTTTTTTTTATTTTATATAGACCTCCATGGTTCCCCATGGAGCGGAAGAAATTCCCCACGAAATTTCACAAGGAAAAAAATGCCTCCATCCCTGCCCCACGGGGAGGAATATTCTTGGAATCTCCATCCCCATGGTGGGAAAATTCGTGAAGCTCCGCAGGTCGTGGAGGAAATTGCCATCTCTAAGTATAGACTGTGTTGGACAAACTCTATGCAAATAATTCTCAGACCAGAATTGTGGCACTCAAGGAATGATTGTCGAATCTCAAGTGTGAAGGTAGAGCAATCACCGACTATTTGCGCATGATCAAAGAGCTTATTGATCGTATTAGTCGTGCAGAGAAAATAGCTCTTTCCAACTCAACGATACAAGTTCACTTTTTGAACGGTCTTAGATCAGAGTACCGAGAGTTCAAGGCCTCTATACAGGCTCGAGATGAACCGCCGTTGTCCTTTAAAGATTTGCAGGACAGATTGCTAGCTTATGAAGAGTCTCTACAGCGAGAAGACTCTGGCCAAGAATTGCAAGCCCCACTCATGGCACAATTTGCAGCCACTAATTCCAAGTTTAGTGGTGGATATCAAAATGCTATGAGCGGCATGCAACCGACCTCCTTCAATCCTCATGGGCCTCTTTCTCATCACTTCACTAGAACTTCCACAATTAGCCAGCAACCCTTTAATGGCCCAAATCTTGGCAGTCCCAATTAGCAACTTCATGGTCTAATAAACCGTGGAAATAAGGGCAATTGTGGTAGAGGTGGTCGACGAAATTCAAGCAATAGGTACAATAATCGTAATAGTTTTGCCTGTCAATTATGTAATGGTTTTGACCATTTTGCCAGGAATTGTCCAGATCTGAGGAATCATGCACATGTGGGAAATTTTGCATTCACATCTCGCAAGGCAGGCAATGACTGGTGGATTGATTCTGGTGCATTCGATCATGTTACCCTAGACTTGTCTAATCTTGCATTACACTCAGAATATAATGGACCAGAAGAACTGTTTATTGGAGATGGATCAGGTTTGACTATTTCACACGTGGGACAATCCACAATTTCTACCAGAACAAAAACTTTACTCTTGAAAAATATACTGTGTTCCAAGTGCTTCCAAAAATTTAATTTCTGTTTCCAAATTATGTCAAAATAATAATGCCTTGGTAGAATTTCATCATGATTCTTTTGTTGTGAAGGATCGCACCACGGGAGCAACGCTTCTTCGAGGGCACAATCATCATGGCGTGTACCGTCTACTCATCCAAGGTCCACTTAAGATGGGTCCAACGGCAATGGTTGGTGAAAGAGCATCTATTATGGATTGGCATGCGAACTTGGGTCATCCTTCATCCAAAACTCTAAATAAAATTTTTCATCATGTTAAGTTACCTATCTTAGATCAATCTAGATTTTCTTTATGTGAGCCTTGCTTGTGTGCAAAGAGTCATAAATTACCTTTTGGTGAATCATCTATTTCTAGTAATAAACCTTTATAAATAGTATATTCTGATGTGTGGGGCCTTGCCTCATTGCCTTCTATGGATGGTTTCCTTTATTGCGTAATCTTTGTTGATTTATTTAGTCATTATGTATGACTCTTTCCTATTAAGAGAAAATCTGATGTTGCACCAATTTTTCAAAAATTTCATGTTCTTGTAGAAAATCAACTTGGAACAAAAATTAAATCTTTTGATTCTGATGGTGGCGGTGAGTACATTGCCTTAAAAGACTACTTTCAAAATACGGGAATTTCTCACTTCATCACACCCCCTTACACACCAGAATTAAATGGTACAAGCGAGTGTCAGAATCGACATATCATTGAAACCGGTTTAACTCTTTTGCAAACTGCTTCTCTTCCTTTAAGATTTTATAGTCATGCTTTTCTCACTGCAGTTTATTTACTCAATAGGATTTCTAGTTCTATTGGCTCATGCTCACCTTTTGAAAAATTATTTCACATCAAGCCCAACTAGCTCAAACTTCGAGTTTTGGCTGCTCATGTTATCCATGGTTACGCCCATATAACTCTCATAAATTGCAGCCTCGGTCTTGCAAGTGCATTTTTCTAGGTTATTCTATTGATCATATGAGCTATCAATGCCTTGATCTTGTATCTGGCAGATTATTTTACTCAAGACATGTTGTCTTGGATGAGCATGATTTTTTCTACAAAAAATCTCCCACCCTTGCTTTGGATGGTGGCACTCAATCCTCTTATAGTCCATCCAAATTAGTTGTTATTTCTCCATCAGGTACTATTAGCCCTCAAGCCTGCTTTCATGGTGCGGCCCATCCACGTGACAATCAGGTAAGTTCTTCCATCACCCATCCTTCTTCCTTAATTCCAACTATGGTCCAAAGTTCAACCCACTTGCCCTCTCCATCTACAATCCATGTGCCTTCTCACCCAATAACCGGTACGGACCCTAGCCACACATCTTTACGCCCTTCATCCTCGACCCAACCTACCTCTAACACTTCCACCTCGGCTCATTCCATATCAGGCCCACTTACAACAACTGACTCCTTGGCGACCTTCACCTCATCTCATCCCAGTACATCTGCTACCTCAGCTGATCACTCTTCCTCACCCACAACCTCTGTTCCTCCTCCCATCGGACCTACACGGACTCACAATATGACCACACGCTCTCAAACAATATTTTTAAACCTCGAACCTTATTCCTTGCCACAAAGCACCCTCTTGACAGTTTGATTGAACCCACTTGTGTTAGTCAAGCATTGAAAAATCGTCAATGGCGTTAGGCCATGTCTGATGAGTTTCATGCCTTGGTTAGACAGGGTACTTGGGAACTTGTTTCTCGCACTAATGTTTAGAATGTCATTGGCTGCAAGTGGGTGTTTCGTGTCAAAAGAAATAAGGCAGGGGGTATTGAAAGGTACAAAGCACGTCTTGTGGCTAAATGATTTCACCAACAACCTGGGTTAGATTACTTTAATACCTTTAGTTCGATAATCAAACCCACAACCATACGTATAGTACTTTCGTTGGCTGTCAATAAAAACTGGCTTATTCGTCAGTTAGATGTTAATAATGCATTTTTGCATGGGAAGTTGGAAGAGGAATTATTTATGGAGCAACCACAAGGTTTTGTTGATAACTCTCAACCCCAGCATGTTTGCCGCCTTCAAAAGTCCATCTATGGCCTCAAACAGGCCCCTCGTACTTGGTACAAAGAGCTCAAAAGTTTTCTACTTTAGAATGGCTTTGTGAACTCACAGTCAGACTCTTCCTGGTTTATTTTTCATTATCAGTCAGAATGGATTTATTTCTTAATTTACGTTGATGATATTATTGTTACGGGCAGTATTGAGAAGCTAGTTGAATCAATTATTTCCTTACTGGGTGCCACCTTCTCTATCAAAGATTTGGGTTGCCTGAATTATTTTCTTGGTGTGAATGCTATCTTTACTAATGCTGATCTTTACTAATGCTGATCTTTGTCTCTCATAAGCTCAATACATTCGTGAGCTTTTGGTCAAGTTTGGCATGAGTGATGCTAAGCCCGTGCAATCTCCCATGGCCACTGTATCTTTGCACTTACATCAAGGTAATCAGCTCTCTGATGCTCAGCCATATCGTCAACTCGTTGGTTCTTTGCAATATCTTGCTCTCACTCGGCTGGATATCTCCTTTGCTGTTAACAAGTTATCTCAATTTCTTCGTGCTCCGTCTGATGTTCATTAGCAAGCTGCAAAGCAGATTTTGCGGTATCTAAACGGTTCTTTATTTCACAGTCTTCTTCTCCGTCGGCAACCCATATCTCCTTTACATGCTTTTTCTGATTTAGACTAGGCTGGTGACAAAGACACTTATCATTCTACGACTGGATATGTGGTGTTTCTCAGTAGTAATCCTATTTCTTGGCATGCTTGCAAGCAGAAAAGTATTGCTCGGAGTTCCACCGAGGCGGAGTACCGTGCACTCGCTGTTGCCTCTTCTGAATTAGTCTGGATTAAGCATTTTCTTCATGAACTTGGCCATCCTGTCTCTGAATGTCCTGCAATTTATTATGATAATGTTGGTGCTACACATCTGAGTAGCAATCCGGTGCTGCATACTAGGATGAGGCATATAGCAATTGATCTCCATTTTGTCAGAGAACTAGTTGATCGCAAGGTTCTTCGAGTAAGCCATATCTCCACTCTTGACCAATCAGCCGATGTCCTCACCAAACCACTTTCCACATGTTGTTTTGCTCAACTTCGACGTAAGATTGGAGTCACCAATGGGAGCTCCATCTTGAGGGGGCATATTAAGGAAACAACCAGTGATTGAGCTAGATTGATTCTATTCAATAGTGCATCTGTGATTGATCTTCCACTTAATATTGTATCTCTAATTTGGTTTATATTTTGCAATAATGATTATGATAGTTACCTTGTATTTACTGATTTAGTTTCCATTCTTCTTGAATTGTAATACCTGTATATATTTCTATGAAATCAGTATAGAAAGCAATCATTCCGCAAATATTACTTTTGATGCTTTATTAAACGTGACACATGACCGTTAAGTTAATGTTTTTCGTCGTTAAGTAATGAACACATTAGTTATTTTTTGTACAGAAAAACCAACTATGAGTAAATTGGTAAACAGTAAAAATCAAATTAGGGGTCTGTATAATAATTCAGGGATCAAATCAAGGTTTTTTTTAGTTTAAGGACAAAATCAAGAGTTTGTACAATAATTCAAAGACTAAATTAAAAGTTTAATCTTAGATCTTTGTAAGAGAGGAGAGATCTCTCACTTTTAATCATCTGTTCTAATAACCAAGGGGAAAAGAAGTAGCGACTAGTGGGGAAAGAAGAAAATAAGAAAAGGAAAAAGAAAAAGAAAACAGGGCAAGAGAAGTGAGGAGGTGGATTATAAATGTTAAATTAATTTGAAAATTAATATGCATAATCAATACTAATAAAACATTAAATTTAATGGTTAAATTTTAAAAATATTCATTAAAGAGTGATAATTTTAAAGTTAAAAGTCTTTTTTTTTTTTTTTTGTAAAAATTGAAACTTATATGTATGATTCTCACAAAATATTAAAAAAATAACATGTAATCCATTATATCTATAACCATTGATGAAGAGGTATTTTTTTGACACGCGAGTTATCTTCATTACTTCATTAATGGTTATAAAATTTACATATATCAAAAAAACTACAATCGGGGCAATAAGAGATTATGGGTATTATTTACATATTCTATTTTTCGGGTATCATTTACAAATACAAATGTTCTATTTCCTCAACCTTATATTGGGAATTTGTAATTTTTTTTCTTCTAATTGAGTTACCAAATTCCATTCCTCAAATAGTCAAGGAAATGAAATGAGTAGATTACTTGCAAACTTTTTTAGATTCACCTCGTTAAACAATTTCAACTTGGCATGTTAGATTAGCATGAGTCTATGTTAGAGCTTGAAGTCAACCACAGTTCTTTAATTACTTGCATGGTCTAGCTTGAGTTCCATTGAACATTCAGCTAAAGAGGTGACCAACTTGGCTTCGATACTATCATACAACCAGACCAAAAGCCTTTGAACAAAATGATGGGTGATGGGTACAAGGACCATAGAAAATTTCTAAACAACTTAATAAGATTGAAGCTACTCTGTATAATCCCTAACAAGCAACTGTTCTTCCCTAATTGTCTTTGGTTCTATCTTGTATGTATTAAAGCCACCCAAATAACAAGCCTTTGATCTCAGGGGTTGAAGTTAGGGAACCTCTGTAATATTTCATCTCTTCTTTCCCAAGTAGCTTCATCAGCACTGCATCCTTCCCATTGAATAAGCCACATCGTAGTTGGCTTATTCTGTTGCTTCATAACTTTTCGATTCAATACAGCAGCAGGGAAAATTGGAGATGATTCAGAAGCTAGAGCATTTAGTTGTTGAATGCCTGGTAGAGCATCACCCCATTTCTTCTGCACAAGTATAATTTGGAATCAGTCTTTGCTGAAGAAGGTAGCTGCAGTTTATAGGAACCATATCCATAACTTAAACAAAGAACTAAAACATAGAGTTGAACGTACCTGGGAAGCCACAAGCCATTTCCCATTAATCCAGTCCTGATGTAGTCTTAACTCAGAGTGTTTAAATACCAGTTCCTCCAAAGTGTTCTGAAAATAGACCATGTATCTTGAGTTGGTGAGAACCTTGGAAATAATGCCCACCCACCAACCATCATTATACAAAGCATCAACTTCTTCAAACTTTTTGTAATGATCAACAATGGTTTCTGGTGGGTAAGGTCTAATGTGCAGAGTGTCAACCACTTCCTTTAGAAACTCTCTATCATCTTCTGTTCTCAAACTCTCATACTGAATTAAGTACCTATCCTTTCCCAACACGTCAACAATAGTTGCAGCAAACCAAGAACCTTTAAAACCATCTTCATCACTGCTAACTTCAACCCGTGTTCCCTTGCCAAACTTCCCCCAAGTCCTTGAATTTCTAGTTTCCAACTTTCCTTCACTCATCAAATTTTTGCCATGCTCCAACTTCTTTTCAGTCATGCCATCATAAGAAGCAAGCTTCATCTTGTCAGTTATGCCAAAGTTAGACTTCCGGACTTTTGTTGCCTGCAATTCAAGAAGTAAAAGGATAAGGAACAAACTACACAAGACATCAGGAAATACAGCCTAGCCAAGAAAAAATGTGGAAAGTAGTAGTACCATTTGAACCATGTTTCTTGAAGAGATTATCGACCACTACATTCCACAACTATAAAGTCTCCCCTTTAGTTTACAACTTACTGAAACTAATGACATGTATAACTGGCAGAGAGAGAACAAGGGAGAGTCACCCATATTTATCTGGTAATTATGCATCCATAAACAATTATTTTCAGAAAAAGAAGAGTCACAGATTACAACTAAATTCCAGAAAGAAATCTCTCCATTTTGAAAAACATTTGGAATTGTGTTCACTTACCAAAATAGGTCATCAAGAATGCAGGTCTGTATTGTGGTAAGAAATGGCAACTCTATCAACAACACTAAACTAGCATAAAAACAAAGCCAATGTAATCACAAATTTGCACCTCATATCGCCATTTCAACTTCCTAAAAGAGAAAATTATACACAAGATCTACATGGCCATCTTTAAGAAAGAGAGAGAAAATGAAAAGAATAGAAGTATCTGATTAGAAATGCTTGCAAAACATGTAATCTACATATGGAAGAAACATTAATTCCAAAAGAATAAATGGTTAAGAAAAAGCAAAACTTTGGTATTCGGTATTCCTATACATCCATAATGATTCCAGAAAAACTTTCCCATAACATTTCAGCAAGCTTCACCATTTTTAATTATTTTTTAATCCAATCAGTTCAGAAGAGGGTCATGCGTAGAAAGACAAAGAAATAAAGAAATAAAGCATGATCACTCCATCTAAGATCTAAATGAGTGTATACAGAAGTTCTTTTCATTATAAAACCATAAAGACACAGTTCCATAAAATTAATAATAATAATAATAAAAAACTGAAAAGAAATCCCGACCAACATGTTCCCCTACAAGTCCAAGAAAAGCAAAAGTCAACAGACAGCATACAAGTAAAAAAAAAAAATGTTAGCAACATAAACTGACAAAGGGGTATCATTAAAATACTTTGGAAAGGCTATTAAAAAAGTGATAATGCTGCTAATTATTTAAGGTGAAAATGCTATAACTATAACACTACATGGTATTGTAAGTTTATATAATATCTCATTATATAAGTAGCTCCTTTCAGAGATCTACTTGTGATATTATATGTATTCAATCATTTAATACCACATCATACTCATTTAATATTAAATCATGATTGTAAGTTTATAATCCTACGTAACATTGTATCTCTAGCATTGCCATTATTTATGGTACTTTTGAAAACAGAAACAATGCTGAGAAAACACTTTCTTTGAATATAATTAGATTTCTGAAAATATACCAAACTGACATCCCTGATCCAATTCAAGATCTATTTAGGCTCCATGGCATTTTTTTTTTTATTTTTAACTTAGGGAATTTTTGGGGGTGGTGAATTAATAGTGCCTAGGTGTAGAATTTAGGACTTCATGTCCTAACACCTCCTCTCAAAAGGGTATGGCCACTAGACCACTTAGTGTTGGACAGGTTCTATAGCATTGTATCTATAGCATTGTGTCTATAGCATTGATATTGTTTTGACTCAAAACCAGGTTTATACCAAGTCTATTTAGGCTCCAAGGAGTCAATCATACATCATTAAGTGCTCCCAGACAAAGACACATATGAAGCAAATAATCCTTAAACTTAACAGAAGTTAATTTAAGTTCAAGATTTCCACTAAAGCATTCTTTCTGTTGATTTAGATAATTACTTCCGTTGGACTGAATAGAGTAACACAAAGGTGAACAGGAACTCATAAAATAAATGCCCAGAAACACTTACACAACCCACTTCCTTCTCCTCCTCCTCAGAAGGCTCCCAAACTCCATCAACCCACTCCCTGTGTAGCCTCATCTCGTCTTCCCCGAACTCAATCTGCTCTTTTGTCGGCCTAAAGTACACCATGAACCTCCCATTTTGGAAATCCTCCGTTATCATCCCTTCCCACCATCCGTCATTGTAAAAGCAATCTACTTTCTCACTGAACCTGAACTTCCTCTTCCTCTCCCTCGGTGCCGGTGGCCGCAGTTTGGCCGCATCACAAATCTCTCTCAGCGGCTTCTTCCCGTCCTCATCTTCGAAGAGACTGCTGTACTGGACAACGAACTTGGTAGGTTCCTTCGATGAAACACGTTTGATGACAGTGCCGGCGTACCAGGACCCGCGGTATCCAGGGTCGTCGGGGCTGATCTCCACCTGCGTCCCGGGTTTCAGGTGCATTGGAACATCAGCGGCGGCGCGTCTGCATTTGGGTTTGGGTTTGCGTGGCATTAGGGTAATTTTTGTGGGTTAGGATGGTTTGGCGCGAGGGAATCAGAAATAGAACATGAAGAATGCGATGCCTACGGATGTGAGGAAGGAGACGGCCAAGGCATTAAAATATTATTTGACAAAAACAAAACTATAGGGTCTCAATTGACAGTAGTAAATAAGTTACAGGGTTTATTGGGGAGAATATAATTGGGTTAAATATCAACTGTTTAGTCCCTAAACTTCTAATTTTGAATATTTTTAATCTCTAATTTTGTTTTATACTTTTTTCATCTTTAAACTGTGAGAAATTCACTTTTGTTCATCTTTTCATGAATGAATCAATTAAGTCTCTCTATGAATGAACACTTTTAGTCTTGAACTTATAAGTTTAGGTAAAAAAATTGTAAAAAATAGTCTAGACTAAAGATATTCAAAATTTAAAACTTTAAGGACTTAAAAAATAACATTTAACTTTTATTTTTATGATTTTTATTTGAAAAAATCTTACATTAAGTCCCTTAATTTATCTTAAATTCTTGATTAAACTTCTAAACTTTTATTAAAAAATAATGATATAAGGACCGATTCTTGTGAGACGAAATTGGGGGACCACTTACGTGGCTTGCCACGTATACAGATGCCCAATCCCACTTCAAACAAATCACTGAGAATTTTGACTTCTTTGATAGCCACCGGCTTAATCAATGCAAATTGTGAAATAGTTCCCCCTAGGATTGTGGGACCCAATATTAAATACAGTAAAAAAAAAGAAAGAGTGGATTCATAAGAAAAAGTGGGGTCCATATACTGTTTGAAGTGGGGTTAGGTGTCTATATACGTGACAAGCCACGTAAGTGGTCCCTTAATTTTGTCTCACAAGAATCGATCCCTGTATCATTATTCTTTATTAAAACAAAGAAATCCTTAAATTTTTTGAATTAGGCATTTTAACTCTTTTTTCTTATAATAAACTTAACGTTTGATTGTATTTTCTTTACATAAATAATGTTAATACTCATCACATAAGCAATGACATATTAATAATTTATTCACACAAATAATGCATAAACAAACATTAAGTTTGCCATAAAAGGAGTCAAATGTTTAGGAGTTTATTTACTTTAATAAAAGTTTAGGAACTTAATGAAAACTCTGGGTTAAGTTCGGGGCTTAACATATTGGCCTTTTCAATTTTTGTCTCATCTGGAGCTCTGGAATGAATGTATATTATATAATATATACCATGGAGGGGACAAAGAAATTTTTTTTTGTTCTATTTTTGTCTCTCAAACCGACTCTGATTCCAAAACCCATCTTCAATCTGAGCGTAAACCTCGAAATCTTGGAGACCCATTTGAATCAATTCCAAAATCGGAAGCAATTCGATCAAATTCTGTCTCAGATGATCCTTACTGGCTTCATGGGAGACACCTTTTCTGCAATCAGACTTCTAAATTGCTCGATTTCCTCACCTTTCATTCACCTCCACCACTCCCCCCGAATTTTCTATCAATTCGAGAACCCAAATGGTTTCGTCTACTAGGCACTAATAAAAGCATGTGTAAAGAGGAACTCTCCTCAAAATGCCTTGATTCTGTACAATAGCATGCTAAATATGAATGTGGGTATTGATAATAATACTTTTCCGGTTCTGATTCAAGCTAGTGCTGAACGTTTGTCTGTATTTGAGGAGAAGCAGGTTCATGATCATGTGTTGAAGATGGGTTTTGACTTGGATGTTTATGTGGGAAATACATTAATAAATGTGTATAGTGTTTGTGGTAGTGGGTTGGATGCGTGCAAACTGTTTGATGAAAGTCCAGCGTTGGATATTGGCAGGTTATTTTCGGGTTGGGGACGTAGAGAAAGCGAAGTATTTGTATGCCAGGATGCCGGAAAGGAGCATTATTGCTTCCAATTTGATGATTGTGTCGTTTGCTAAGAGTGGGAATGTTACTGAAACTCAAATGTTGTTTTATGAAATGCCGAAGAAGGATTTGGTGGATTCCATGTTTTTCTCTTGATATTTATGCTTCAAAAGGTTATTGGGATAATGCCCTGGAGATCAGGGGGATGATGGTGCACCATAAGGTGCTGATGACCCCATGTTCCAGCACAATTTAAACAAAAGGAATGGTTCATTAGTTCCTAGCAAGAAATAATACATCCCAGCATCTAAATGAGGTTGAATATTTTATTTATAAAATAGCCAAGAAACTGATGGAAGAGTATTAATGGGATGCATAAGCTTTTCTCTCTGCCATGTAGTTCACTACGAAAACTTGTGGTGTGGCATCACATCAATTTTGCCACTTTTTGATACATGGATTTTGTACGCACAATCTTTTAAAGAAGTCCATTCCTTTCTCTAGAAGCAAGATAGAGAGAAAGCTAGGTCACATCTAGGATGGTATATCTGCTTGCTTTCTGAAAGCAAGAGTTAATTGTTGACCTTTTTTTCCCTATGCTGTTACTAATGTAAATACTTGTTTCTGTTTTTTTCTTTTTTCCTTTTACAGGTATGTGAATTGGTTATCAGTCCCCTCCATCAATCACCTTCTGTTATGTATTTTATGACCTTGAAAGTGAAGGATAGTCCCATCCTGGTGATAGCTCTGGTCAAATTTTTAAGTTGCCTCTCCTTTTACTTGCAAATTTACCAAGTGAAATTAATTTCTCTTTTCCATACCATTTTTTTTTTCTTATGCTTATAACGGCATGTTTATTATCTTGTATTGAACATGCTAAACGTGGGCCTTTGCATTACCATATCACTCTCCCCTTGCCTTTTTTGCTAACATGAAGTAGGTCAATCTGCAAGAACAGGAGAGAGAGATTTTAATCGAGACAAGCATCATTCCTATTGGTTCTCTCTTTCCCTGGAAGCTTTGAATTATATTTTCATCTTGCCAGATGAATGATTTGTTGGCATACAGTTGTACACGTTCTTTTTATGGAAATTAAGTTAAACTTATAAGGTAAGTCTTCTTCCTTGGTTTTGAGATAAATTATATAAATTATACTTCCTTTCAGCCTCGGTTTCATCAACATCTTCACCATGACCACTATGAGCGCTACCATGGAGCACTGGAGGGAATCTGTCGATGAAGCCCGCACCCTCATCCTGTCCCTCTCCTCCATTTTCCAGTCATCACCAAAACCCTCATCTTCCTCATTCTTCCTCTCCTCGTTTGCAGATCATGATGACCCTGCCAAGTCTCTCCTCACCTCTAAAGAAGCTTATTCTTTGATTGCCTCCTGTCTCTCCTCCTCTGTCTCTGGAGCTTCCTCTGATCCCTTTTGTCATTGGCTTTATGATACCTACATCTCCTCTATCCTCTCTCTCCGCCTCTTTTCCTTATCCTTCCTTCCCATCATCTCCAACCTCTACCTATCTCGCTTTGCCACTGACCTTCCTTCACCAATAACTCCATCTGCAGGCTTTGAGGCCATCCTTCTTGCCTTTTACAACTCACAAATCCAATCTCAGAATTATGAATCTCGCTCCATTTCCCTTCCTGATCTTACCAAACCCTCTATTTACCATTCTCCCTCAGAACTGAAGTTCAATCAGTCAGTTCGACTAGATAAGATAGTTGAAGAGAATATGAGTCCTGACACATCAACCAGCTCAAGATCTTCCTTAGGGGTTAAGTCATTGGAGCCACAGATCACAATTAAATCCACTCAACGCCCACTTATTGTTGGACTTGCATTTGACTGCTACCACCAACACATTGCAGAGATCCCTGTCTGGTCCAAGATAGACTTCTGTGAAGTCGTGGCAGCATGGGCTGGTCAGTGTAATTGTTCTAAGGGCAATGAGAATGACAACAGGTGTGAGAGTGAAAACATTGTGAAGGAGATGAGAAGACTTGAGATTGGAAAAGGTGGTAGTAATCTTGAATGTGAAAAGGGAGTCAAAATCTTGCTTCCATGGGAATTATTGCAACCTATCTTGAAGATCCTGGGGCATTGTTTGATGGGTCCTTTTTGTCCAGAAGAGGTTAAGAGTTCTGCTTCAGTTGCTGTGAGGAGAATATATGCTAGGGTGAGTCATGACTTGAATCCCCAGGCAATCTTAGCGACCCGATGCCTCATCCAGCTTGATAACAGGGCCAGAGATAAGGCTGCCCAGAAGGCAGCTGCAGCAGCAAGGATCCATTCAGGTTACATGGTGCAATGCACTTTGCATCTATACACTTTTCACCTTAAACCAACAGGAGTAACAAGTTTGGGCAGGGTTAGATTCAAACAAAGCTACCTAACTATAAGCAGTTTATAGGAAAGTCCTTAGCCTAGAAGGAAAAATACAGAGTTTCTCTACCTGTTTGAAGATTTTTTTTTTTCTTTGACTGATCAATGCACATGTAATGTCACTAATCTAAGCATTTTCCATCTTCAGGTCAGCCAAAGGATTGTTCAATAGAAGGGAGTTCGAGTGTCAATATCATTCCTGATGAGATTGCTGCATCCAGGAGAATCTGATCAAATAGACTATCTTCTTTCTGTGTTTTCTGATATTTTTATTTATTCTGTGTTAAGGCCGAGTTCCTTCCTAGAAATTGTGCATTTTTTTCCAAATCTTTAGCGAACTGTTATGCCGAAGGCAAACTCAAGAAAATGGATTTGGAAGTAATGATACTTGAATGTGATATCTTACATGATGTACAATTTTTGGCTAGGGAAGGAATACATGTTCAATCATCTGGATTTTAGAGAAAACTATATTAATTAACACAATGGCTGTAATGGGAACCCTTTTTTTTCTGGATTAATACAGCTGACAAGGGCTTTAGTGCTAAATCATATTGAAATTGTTTCAAGTTGTAAGTATAGAGGTAAAGAAGACAAATTAAAAAAATAAGAGAATCAAATAATTTTTTCCATTACCTAGTTCAAGATGAGTCAAAATGCATTCCTCAGCAGATAATCATCTGAGGGAAGAAGTATAAATATAATGATACATAATTCTTTCAAAATTGCTTTGTAATAATGTCTATGACTAAAATTGCTGTAGGACTTTTCTTTATTTTTCGTTTTTTTTTTTTCGCTTTCCTGTGGTTGAAACCAACCAACTCAAACCTCTTCTCAAGAGAAAATCCCACTGTAATGGTAATTATTCTGTCTCCATACTACCTAACATCAGGGTTTTTCATCACTATCAAATTATCTTCAGCCACAATGTTGGTATAAATAAGGAAGTCTTCTGATCTTGTTAGCTTCCCTTTTCTTTAAGTTTCATCTTCTAAATCATGCATCAAACAATCTAGATCAGGCACATAACCTGCTTCTTGCATATGCAGAATCAACAACTCTAAAACTCTGTACACGCAATCTATATGAGAGCCGACCTTATGACCAACAACAAAGCTATAAACCTCATTTCTTACCTCAATCCAACTCTGTCCTGCTTCTTTCTTGTTTCCCATTCCTCTTATCAACTTTCTAAATTTCGCAAACTCTGCCCACTTACCTTCTCGAGCATAGATATTTGACAGCATCACATAAGTCCCTACCATACTTGGCTTCATATCCAATACCCTCCAAGCTGCTAGTTTCCCCAATTTTGGGAGTCTATGTGCCTTGCAAGCACCAAGAAGTGCACCCCAAACAGATTCATCAGGCTCAAATGGCATACACTGTATCATTCTATAAGCTTCCTCAATTTTCCCAGCACGCCCTAGTAAATCCACAACACACCCATATATCTCCTGATCTGGGGTGACATTATAAAGACTCCTCATTGATTGGAAATACCTTAAGCCTTCATCCACAAGTCCAGCATGGCTGCATGCACTCAGAACTGCCACAAAGACAATCCTGTCTGGTTTGATACCTGACCTGATCATCTCATCAAACAACTCAATTGCCTCTTTTCCATATCCATGTGCCCCATACCCAATCATCATAGAAGTCCAAGAGACCAAATCTCTGTGAGTCATTTCACTAAAAATTTTGCGTGCATCGGCTATGCTGCCACACTTGGCATACATGTCAATCAGTGCATTTGCTAGCTCTGGGTTGCCTTCAAAGCCTCTGTGAATAATGCTTCCATGAACCTGTTGCCCACAATTCAATATTGCCAAATTTGCACAGGCAGCAGTAACACTGCTAAATGTGAAGCAATTTGGAACAAAACCCTCTAGCTCCATTTCCAAAAATACACGAAGGGACTCACTGGAATCTAGTCTTTCATAACCAGCTATTAAGGTGTTCCATGTGATCAAATCTTTCTGACTCATTTCATTGAAGTATTGATTTGCCTCAGATAAACAACCACACCGACAATACATGTCTAGTATAGAATTCATAACAGGAAGATTGGATCCCAACCCACTTTTACGTACTACCGAATGTATCTGGTTGCCTAAAGTTCGTGAGCCAATTGTGGCACAAGCTCTGGCTGCAATCGAAAAACTATAAGGATTCCATTCTGCTTCCTCCTGTTTGCCAAAAATATACAGTAACATCATGAATATGCAACAATTTACCACATACATATCCCCTTGAAAGACGAAAATAAAGTTTTTTCACAACATGCCAAGAGGGTTTCAACTGCTTACCAGTAACATTTCCTTGAAGACTTGGAGCCCACTATAGCCATCACCTCTATGAGTGTACCCAGCAATGAGGGTAGTCCAAGACGCCTCACTCTTTTCTTTCATATCCCTAAAAATCATGCATGCATTATCCATGCTACCAGAAGAGGCAGCATATATGTCCATAAGTGCATTACCCACATAATTAGACCCTTCCAACCCATGTTTTATAGCCATCCCATGAACCAAGCCCCCACAAGCAACACTCTTCATGCATTTACAAACCTTCAACACATTAGACAGAGTAAAAGCATTGGGTTGTACCCCAATCTTCACCATACTACAAAACACATTCCAAGCATGAACATGATAATTGCGTGAACTGAATCCTGCAATCATGGCAGTCCATGCCACCACGTCTCTCTCAGGCAATTCATCGAACAGCACCCGTGCTTCATCAACCAAGCCCTTCTCAAAGTAGGACTTGATGAGATTCGTGGCTAAAATGGTGGGGCCTTTTGCCCCTCTGGATAGAGCCATAGGGTTGGATTTACGTCTGTTGGGGTGTTTTGGCCCCTCTGAATAGAATGTTTGATTATAGTAGTGATCAGATGGAAGTTAGAGGTTAAAGATGGTAGCTTTTTGTTGCTCATGGACATGGGTAGCAATGCACCTGATCATACCCTCTCCATTAAAGGTTTAACGACACAGTGTTGAAGTTCCTAGACTTAACAACCTGAAATTCTGACATGGAGATAAGAGTTTTTCGACTATACTGTTTTATGTAACCGAACTCGTGTTCTGTTTTTCTTCTTCGGATATTAAGGGAAAAACGAAAGCTTTACAAAAGTTGATAATTATATTTATGGTCCTTGTAGTTTTCCACAAATCTCAGTTTAGACTCTGACTTTTTATGGATCCATTTGCACCAACCATTTTCTCCAGAAAAATTGTTACTACTAAAGCTGGCTCTAACCGAATAGGTCCTAGAAGTAAAGGAAGGAGTTTTGAGAATCTGTTGAATTGAGGAATTACTTATAACACAATCTGCCTTTTGTAGAGTTCCTGGAGCTAATCAAATCGAAAAGTGCATTTCAAGGGAGAAAGCTATCTTCTTCCATTCCTTTTTCTTACTTCTCCGGTTGACGTCTGTGGGTTTATCCTGATTCGAGGTAATTCCATGATTTTCTGTTTCTTTGTATAGCATGATGCTTGTTCGATCAATTGTCTCATATACATGTTTTCTCTCTTTGGGGTTATGAATTTGCCATCTGGGTTTTGATCCCTATGAGGAGTTTCTGTGTGATTATCACTATTTGGTGTGTGCTGGTAAAGCATGGTAATTGTTCGAATGATTGCATTGTAGACATCATGTACCTCTTTAAAGCTATGTTTTTGCTATCTGGGTTTCGATCCACAATGCTGAAATTGAAGGTGCTCCGTTTGGGGCTATGATTATTTGGTGGAGTTACATGCTGGTAAAGCATAACACTTGTTCGAAAGGTTGCCTCATAGGCATGTTATCTCCCTTTGAGGGCTATGATTTTCTATCTGGGTTTTGATCCACCATAGTGAAATTAAAGCAGTTCATTTTGGGGCCAGAATTTTGTAGTGTGGTTATTAGATGGTTTTTAGGTAGGGATTTTTCTTGATTGTGATCTATGGAAGGTTTTGATATGTCTGTCTGCTGCTATAGGATCTTGTGATGGGAATCAGTAAAACAGAGGTGAACTTGAGAAGGCTGCTTGCTGCTGCACCCAAACAACAAAACCATGCAAAACTTGTACATGTAAGTCCTGAGATCCTTTTCACTTGAAATTAATTAATTTCACAATGATTTGTGTCAGTCCATTCACCTTGTTGTTCTCCTTATGGTTGTTCAGAATTTGGAATAGTTATATGCAATTTTTAGTTTTAACAAGATGTTATATTTTGAATGATGTTAATGACGCCAATTCTCAGTATGTGGCTACTTTGAGAGAACTATTGGAACAGCTGGCTGAAGAGAGAACAACAGAAGGCTTACCAAGGTGTGTACTTGTTTTAGAATTTATTCTTTTTCAAATTTCTTGGATTGTTGAGAGATGGTTCATTAGTTTCTAGTTTAGAGGTAACATAACATATCTTCTTGATTTCTTACAGAGTTTCAAAGGCTAAGGTGAATGATTATTCAGAGAAGATTGAATCCATTGCTTCAAAATTAGGTGCCCCACTGGTACGCATGTGTGAATTAGAGAGTCGCTTCCTTGTTTTGTTTAATAATTAATATTGTGTTGTGATTCATTTGATTATTTTCAAGACATTTTTATTCTTATTTGGAATACTTTTACGCGTATGATTCTGCTTATAGGCTGAGCCTGTTGTCTTAACTTCCTTCTTACCAACATGTCTCTAGTTTATGATTGGTTTTTGCATGGCATTATTAACGACTTGTTTATTTGGTCTATTTCCAGCCCAATATTAAAGTTACCCATGAGTCATTCTCTGTGGACACCTTTAAAGAAAGCCCTCCCCAGATTGATGGAGAGAACCATAATCCTTCTTCTCCAGGGCTAAGAAGGAGAGTTGTGTAAGTGAATCTTTACTTGAGTAAGCATAAGATTTGCTTCACATCAACTCTAGTGTAATTGTCTTCTTGTTTGTCATTATCAGGCCTGCCTCAACTACCAGAGATAGAAATCAGGATGCCAAAGAGGCTGATATGTCTCCACCTGTTAAACTGGATGCTGCAGCTCAGGCACACATAGAGAAGCATAGGTGCTTTCTTATTTCCTTTTTCTAATGATTTAGATTTTGAATAATCAAAGTGTGAAATGGAATAGAAGGAGAATATCTAAATCCTCATTGTTTTTGTTCTGTTCTCAAATAGAAAGCTTCAGGAGGACTTAACTGATGAAATGGTTGTGTTGGCAAGACAACTCAAAGAGAGTAGTCTGATGATGAGCCAGTCTGTGCAGAACACTGAGAAGGTAAAGCTTGATTCTAAGTTGTCAACTCTTCCACTTATCCATATATTGATTGTTTGCATATTATCGAACTTGTTTAAACAGAGTACTCTCGAGCAAGGCACATTAATCTTATACATTTTCTTGGATAAAATCTGAATTTTATTTATCCAATAGAAACTTAGCAGCATTGTAAACACTGCTACTACAAAGAGTTATCTTATACATTTTAGAGACCATGGCGTTCCAACCTATACAAAATTGTTTTTTCCATTATATATCCAACTGGTTATCATATTAATGTGATTAATTGTTTCATTATTCAGTTCATTGACTGTTTTGAACATGTAACTTATGTTAGTATTTGTTAGTTTGTTTAGGATGGATTTTGCAATTTACATTTGGAAAATGTGTGGGTGGACAATATAGCAGTCCATGTTTCTTACAGTAATTAACTATATTATTATTATTTATTCATGGTATATCATAACAAAAAAAATAGTAAATTTTGTTAGTTCATATACTTGGATATCTTCAATCTTCATGGACATGATCTAATCTACCTTGAGGAATTATTAAAATTGGTGGAACAGTGAAAGCTATTGTCCTATGAGATGTTCTGGGGTGGTTAAAGGAGACCAATCCTACATCATGTGGCTGCTTCACTCTTTATGATTCTCCAAAACTACAATTTTTCTGCCAACATTGTCTGTCAATATTTGTCATGGTTCCTGATATATACTTTTAAATCAATTCATGGCAACCCAACCACCTTTCCCTTGGATTAGAGCCCATTTAATCCTGTTTGTGGAAGCTAACTTGCATTTGTCATGGATGTGGTTATTTTGTGTTTAATTATTTCTCCTTTGAATTATTAAGTGATCTTATATATGGTTTTATGGATTAATGCAGATACTTGATTCCACAGAAAAGGCTGTCGAGCATAGTCTGGCTAGCACTGGACACGCTAATGTCCGTGCCATGAAGATATACTCGGAAACCTCAAAGACTACATGTTTCACATGGCTTCTGATGTTTGCTATGACATGTATATTCATTATGGTTGTACTCCTGATTCGTGTCACATAATCTAAATCATAAACAAGGGTAACTCACTCACTGTAGCTTGCACATACAAAGCAAGATCTTCATGCAGAGTCTCGAATTCCATTTTTTTAACCAGAATTAGGTTGAGTGGTAATTAGCATTTACAACTTTTGTAGTTGTTGCTTAATTAACTATAATGAAGTGGTGAACTTTGTCAATTCAACGTAACAAGTTTTCTCATTTCTGGAAACAAATGTTCATATTATTGTTTGGAATAAGGTTTCTCAATGTGTTATCACTGTTCTTTATAGGTTGGTTCATGCTCTGTTTTTCTTTCTTATATTTGCCTTTTGGAATAAGGCATGTAATAAAATTCCTAGAACAACCCAAAGGAGAAGCATTGTTTGGTATTCGTTGCTCTTTTAATCTTCTAAAAAAAAAAAACAAACAAACAAACAAACAGTGCTACCATAGAATTGGTTTTTTTTTTTGTACTAACCTCTTGATATCCAATAACCACATTAAATTTTAACTAATTTGGAATCGAGTCACATTGGACCCAATTAAGAGAAGGAGCTCTTTCAATGTTTACTTTTTCACAAGACTTGAACTCAAGACCTTGTTTAAAGGGACCGAACTTTTTCCACTCAAACCAACAGGTTGTTGGTAGAATTAGTATTCTTTATTTGCTATGATCTTTATTTTAATTTCGCTGATCGTGTGACTAAGGAATAATGAGTGTGTACGGGCATTGGGAATCATACTGAGTTGAGAAGTTGGGGAAGCAATGCTAGGGTGCATGAATGGCGGCAGCAAGATCAGTGGCACATTCCTAGCAGTTTCTGTCAGGGATTGAGGACAGCCTTCACTGCTTGTATTTACCATAATATGGAGAGAACGGAATGGTAGGATATTTGTAGGGGACAGTAGATCTGAGCAAACTGTAGCAAAGAGAATTATGCTGTATTTGAGACTATTAGCCTAGCCTGACAATTTTTGTTACACACCAGGAATGCCTGTATCCTTCATGGGGATTGGATTCTTAATACACACATCCATTTCCTGAAAAGGTCATGTTTGAATCTACCAGATAACTCTCTTATATCACCAAGAAAAGGCATCCAGAGTAATTATCTCTTTTGAATTTAAAACTTGTATGCTTTTTAGATGAACAAATTTTCTGTTCAACAGGTTCCCAGCATCTTACATGCTCAAATTGTACAAACTATTAATCAAGAAGATTAGAAGTCGAATATAGGCAGAAAATGGCCAATATGTTCATTTGTACAATAATGAGCAGAAAAAAATAATATTATCATTTCATGAACACCTTACAGCACCAGATTGAACATTTTGCTGCATCCTTGAGAATTACTCAAGAGAGGAGGACATTGAGATGAGCAGAAGCTTTACATCCTTTCATAAAAGACTTGCTTCTTTCCTTTAAGTCCTGCACACTGGTGCATGTGACAAACTGAATGACAAGGGAGCCTATCCTTTTCTCCCAGAGGATTGAAAATCATGCATTGTCTCCCTGAAGGTGTCAATGGTGTATGCAGCAGGTGAGGCGTCCCCTACAACCTCACAGTCGTTCCCTTCAAAGCAAAGAAATAGCCGTCAACAAGTTTTTGTGTCAGACATTGATTGAGTACAGTGAAAATTCACCAGAAAAAAGTAAAATGCTTAAGAATTGCCATGGTTATCACCAAGAAACCACAAAGACAACTTAGAAACCATTCTTTTTCAATGTCTCCTGTAACTGTTGGCACTTAGGCAGGGAGTGTTGGAATTAAGCTCAGAAGCTCTTGGCATGGTTCATGTCCCAAGTTTAAGAGCATTTCTAACACAATGGAACAAGTAATTGTATCAGGTGACAGGTTTTTCTCGGCCATTTTCTGAAGAAGTTCCACGACTTTGGCAGTCTCATTGGTTTGAGCGAAATAAGAAATGAGTATATTAAAAGTTACCACATCCGGAATGCAACCTTTCTCCTCCATTTTTCCTAATAACTCATCTGCCTTCTTCAGTTGCCCACTTTTGCAGAGCCCAGCCATTAAGGTACTATAAGTAATTGTATCAGGTTGTGGACCTCTTTTAAACATAAACTCTAACAAAGCATTTGCTGCCTCCATCCTCTGTTCTTTGCAAAGTGCATTCATGAATGAGTTATAAGTAACTATATCAGGCTTCTGACCTCTTTGAAACATTAACTCTAATAATGCATTTGCTTCTT